GGGGGGGGGGGGGGGGGGGGGGGGGGGGGGGGGAGGCACGTTGTTTTTCTTTGCTTTGATAGAAAACAACAGACATCCCTCCGTAGTAAAGAATGGTCTTGCAAATGCTTAGGGAACGACTATTTGGATGGTTTTCGAAAAAGAAATATATTATAAAATGGACATTTTTACTCGAAAACGGCTACCCGAATGGTCCTCGAAAAAAATTTGGTACAAAGTGGACGTTTTTACTCATGACGGAGCTGTTCAACTTTCTATAGTTAGAACCGACATGTTGTTGCAAAGTGTCATCGGGAGCTAGTTTAGCTTGTCGACGATCTTTGCGTGATTTCCGTGGTACTCTTTTTTTGGTACATTTTATATTTCGCTATATCAGAGGCAATTTGTGTGATCCCTGTTATCACTATGCGCGGGCAAACATGTAACACCAACAAATTCTAAATACCTAGATGCAAATAAATGTATGCAACAGCATCAAGCGTTAAAAATTCATGTACCTTTATCAGTTGTAAAGCCACACCACTGCAGTACGACACAACGGTTTTCACGCATTTGTCGTGACAAACGAAATTGCATACTGAAAATATATGTTAAAATTGAATTATTTTTTAAAAAGTATTTACGATATCTTAATTTCAACTTTGAATCTTTAGCTTATACATGGACATAGAACATGCCTGTGAAATTTCAGGCCACTGTCCAAAATCGTTTTATTGCCAAAAAATTTGCATATTTTTCTTCTATGTGTCGTATGTGAAACTTAAGCGTGCGTCGTTGATAATGCTAAAAGAGTCGACGGAGTGGGAAGATGCTCAAAAACCTTAAGTTTACTACCTTCTTTGGTTGCTGAGTTGAAAGTGATTAACAAGAATGAAAATATAACAAACACATAACCACATACATATATACACACAGACAATCACTTGACAATATGTGTTTTTATTGCATTTACACAAATATGCAAAAATGCACAAAAAATGAACCTTCACAAACATATCCTTGTGTAAGCATGCCCCAAATTTTATCGCAGCAGTGATGGCAGTACGTTGGTTTACCAAATGTTTTACGTACGAAATAATGTCCATGATCTCGGCCAACCGCTAGCAGAGTTGCATCCACGTTATGTCCCTCAGCTGCCATTAGTAATAACAACAATAGCAGTGTTAGCGTTCGTTGGTCATGCGCTCCCGACACCTGAAATTTAGCAGGGCCCAATTATACAGTTACTGTACCGTTAAAACAGTAGAACGTGAAAATTTCAGGATAATTGAAAATTCTAGAAAATTGAAACAGCTGACGAATAAGGCACGATGGTGGTTACCGTCCTGTTGTGCATAAGGCTGAGGGTTCGAATTTGCAGTGGGACAACCAATTCCTCTTCGATTTCACTCATTCGTTTCGATGGTAAATTGGTATTGACGCATGCCAAGAAATCAAACTCGCCATCCGCTTGCTTATAAGCAACTCTCGAAAGGGGAAGCCATTGACAGCCTTGCTGGTGACTGCTTGTTAATGACATTTGCTATCATTCGAGCTAATTCCCCCGCTCAGACACAACGGATACGACAGGAGTTTTGACTATTGACTAAAATTATTACTTGTACCGAGCAAACTTTACTCACCTATTACAACTGCTCGCAAGTAATTTGTAAACAGCGATGGAGAGTTCCACAGATTGATAACTGAGAATTCTGTGTTTCAAGCTATCCATAACTCATACTTGTGTTGCTGTCCGGAAATATATCATAAAACCATTTCTCCGCCTGAAAACACAACTTAATTTGTCAATTAAGACACTTCTTTCAACAAAAAAATCGCCAAAGTCCATTGATTTACAGAGTATAGCTGTCAGCAAACATAAACTTTGATCAGATGCAATTCGCAGAGTGGTTTTCCAGTTATGCAACGGACAATTTTTCCAGCTGTTTCGACCGGTACTACATTGCCTAGTGGTCAGCCTGCTAGCAAGAAATGGATGTCAGGAGCGGCGAAGGGTTTTAAAAAGAACTGACATGTTATCATTTAATGTTATGTGTCGCATAACACAAAAAAAAGTTGGTGGAAATTACTTCGAGCAACAACAAAGTCAGACTGGTTACAAAAACCGATTGCAATGACCGAAATACGAACGATGATCATGCAACAGCAAAAAAACACTCAAGGTAATCAGGCAGCGAGAAAATCAATCATTCCAAAAAAAGGCACTGATAAATCAGGAAAACCAAACGGAGGAGGGAGTAATAACGAAAAAAGTGATTGCTCAGGACAGAACAGTAACTGTGGATAACTATATCTACCATCACTTTCTCTTATAATTAAATCTATTTTACATTATGAAAACTTCAAAACCTTCAAAATTTCACATTACAAACATCAAAATTTACATCTAGAGCATCTAGAAAAGTTTTTCTGAAATAAAACGGAAGCAGGTTCAGCCATGATTCTTTTAGAATAAAGATACTGTTGACGACAAATACATATGTATAATAAAAAAATTAAAAAATAATCAGTAAATGACAAACAAAGATAACACATGAAAAATAATAATATAGTATTTTATGACGAGTGTTACGAGTTATCAGTTTTTCATCAAACAGCATTTTCACGAGGATTTTGCTAAATGATAGCAAATTTGCTAGTCAATCAATGGTGTGCCCTGCAACTGCGATTCTGTCCCTTGCATGGAGTTGGTTGCAAGCAGTACAAACAATGCCATAAAATTCAGTGTAAGGAGGCACAAATTCGGCTGGGAGGAGGTGCAATTAGTGGTGGGGTCTGAGAGCAGTCAAAACGATGAATCCAAGCAAATGGGCGCAAAAATAGCGAATGCAAGGCTATTTTCAGCCAGAAACGTCATCGCGGCCAGAGAGTGCCAACACTCGTCATTCTAGCGCACAGCAACCATTCTGAATTCAGAGCAGCACCATTCTGGGACCAAGAAGAAGTACCAAAAAAAGCCTCCCATTCATGGATGGAAAATAGCGGTAGTACAGAAGATATACAGAATCGTCACTTTTGGGGAGCGAGATGGTGCATGTTTGATTTAAAATCCACATACATCTCCACATATCCACATACGCGATAGTTCTGTACGCTCGTCAATTGATTAAAAA